AGCCCAGGAGTTGGAGGTTGCTGTGAGCTGTAATGCCATGGCACTCTACCCAGGGGGACAGCTTGAGGCTCCTGTCTCAAAAAAAAAAAGAAAAAAAGCAAGCATATGTACACACAACAACTTATACATGAATGTTCATGGCAGCTTTCTTTAAAATAGCCCAAACCTGGAAACAACCCAAATGTCCATCAGCTAGTGAATGGATGGAAAAATTTTGGGATATTTAAACCATGAGTAACATTTTTAACATGGATGAATCTCAAAATAATTATACTGACTAAAAGAAGTGACATTTAAAAAATAAAAAATTTAAGAAAAAGCAAATGAGTTGCCTGGGGATGGGGGCTGGGAGAAAAGTGTGAATTATAAAAGGGACAGAAGGAAACATTAGGGGTAACAGAGATACACTTGTTATCTTTATTGTGGAGATTATTTCACAGGTAAATATGTGGTCAAAACTCATCAAATTTTATACTAAATATGTGCAGGTTTATTTTATGCTCCAGTAAATGAGAAAGTAAAAATTGTAACATATACTTAAAGATAGGCAAATTTTAAAAATGTAGGACAATCACTAAAGCATCACTTTGAGGGAAATTGTAGCTTTAATGCTATTATAAAATAAATGTTTAAGATAAGCAATCTAAGCTTCAACTTCAGAAGGTACAAATAGAAGAGCAAATTAAAACCAAAGAAAGTAGACAAAGATACGTGTATAATTGGAAGAATTCAGATAAACAAAAAACCAGAGAAAATAAAAGCAAACATTTGTTATTAGAAAAGATTATTGATAACTCATTAGTAAGAATGATCAAGGGAAAAAAAGGAAAATTTACAGTATGGATGAATGTCAACATTGTACTGAGTGAAAGAAGCTACGTACAGAAGAGTATATGCTGCATGATTCTATTTATATGAAATCCAAGCACAAGGAAATCTAAATAGTGGATTTAGAGAGGGGCCTAGAAAAGGATACAAGGGAACTTTCAGGGGAGCGGGGGAAGGGCAGTAATGAAAGTATTTCATACTGTCATCCCTCGGTATCCATGGAGGATTGGTTCCAGGATCCCTGTCACTCCATACCAAAATCTGCACATACTAAAAATGACATAGTATTTGCATATAACTCACATATTTTCCTGTGTGTTTTAAATCTCTATTATTTATAATATAATTATAAATGCTAGGTAAGTAACTGTTATACTGTATTTTTTATTGGACCCACCCCTCCCCCAGTGTAGTCAATCCTTAGTTGGTTGAATCAGCAGATGCAGAACCCACTGGATACAAAGGGCCAACTATATATTGATTGAAGTGGTGGCCATATAGATGTTATAAGAGCCAAAATTCGTTGAATTTTGTGCACATGTGCAATCTTGTGCATTGTTGTATATAAATTTTGTGCACATGTGCAGTCTTGTGCGTTTTTTTAATTAATTCATTTTTTAAAATTCAGCCTATTCCTTTTTTTCTTTTTCCAGAGACAGGGAGGGTCTCACTCTGTCACCAGCCTGGAGTACAGTGGTATACAATCATAACTTCTGGTAGCCTCAAACAATACGCTGGGCTCAAGCAATCCTCCTCCCTTAGCCTCCTGTATGCCCCCCCCAAATCACACCCACCTATTTTTAAAAAATGTTTTCTTCTTAAGTTATCATAATTGTACTAGCTAGGATCTTCAACTTTACTCGGAGTGGTGGTAATGAGTACATTTATCTCATAATTGATTTATAGATAATGATTTTGTTTCCTCATAAAATTGATATATTTGTCCCAATGTTATCTTCAATGATTATATCAATGTTTTGCCTATAGTTGATGTTCTGTAAATATTCATGGAATAAAGGAGCTTGAAATTAAAAAAAAAAATGTTTTCTTGTAGACATAGTATCTCACAATGTTGCCCAGGCTGGTCTTGAAGTCCTGGGCTCAAGCAGTTCTTCTGCCTTGACCTTCCAAGTGCTTAGATTACAGGTGTGAGCCACTGCACCTGACTCTTACTCAACTCTATATCCCTCCAGCTATACCCTTTAGCTAAGCATCTTGAAAGAATTATATGTAGTCACTATCTCTATTTGCTACATCCATTTTTCATCCCCCTTGAACTTTGCTTCTTTCCTATTACTATCACTCTTACCAAAACATACCTAGGGGTACTTCTTTGTTGTTAAATCTAACAATTATTTTCAGTTTTCACAGACCTTGACCTCAGCAGTATCCAAAACTACTGACCTCTCCCTTTGGAAGCACTAGAATTTTACACAATTCAGTTCTAGGCCTTTGCTTCTCCTACCTTTCACCTATCCTATCTCCCTTTCACTGTGCAGACTTCTAAAATTTCTCAGAGTAACTTCAAACTTAACATATTCTAAAATGATTCATAATTTTCTTCCCCCCACAGCTCCAGTGTTTTTTTTTTGTTTTTTTGTTTGTTTGTTTGTCTCACTAAATGGCACTAATTATCTAGTGATGAAAACTAGTAGAAAAAAAAAAACTTTCCTGGGCTTCCCTTTCCCACCAACTTATATCCAGTTCATCACTTAAGCCCCCCTACATGTATTTCTTGATACTTGGTTTCTTTCCATTTCTACCACTATACTTCAGTCCAGCCTACATCTTCTCTTCTTCCACTGTTAACTAGTCTATCCACATGCATTCTGGCCCCCTTCCAGTTGTTCTTCTATACTACAGAGATAACTAGTTGTACAGTAGATTTGCACTGCTCTTTGGATGAAATCTAAAATCCTTAACCATGGCCTAAACAGCCAGTTGACCTCTCTATATGTACTTACATGAAGCCCTACTTTGCATCACTTCCTTCATGGCCATCCTTGCCTTTTATTATCTTGTCTTCTTTCCTGTCACAGATCCGTTTTTATGTACAATTCCTTCTGTCCATAATCTCTATTGGCACATAACTCCTATATATTATTCAGATCTTAGCATTACATTTTTTCCAAGGCACATATTCTCCTGGTTAGCTGCTCAAAGCACCATTTACCCTCCACAGCATTTAACACAGTTGTACCTTACTTTTGCCTATGGGATTATCCAAATAAGGTAATTATCTTAATTGCTTGATAATTGAGGGATTATTCAAAACATCTAGTTTCTTCACTCCAGCATAAGGTACATGACTGCAAGGACCACATCTGTTTTTAAATCACCTTTGTTTCTCTAGCATGCAGGTACCTAGCAGGCCCTCATAAATATTTCTAAATGAATTAATGAAGAATTAGAAATTATCTGTTCTTAAATGAAGTAACAGGGACTTTGGTCTTATATTTTAAATGGATTTCAAACAAACATCTAGTCAGATGCCTTGTTTTTAAGTAGAATTCCAGTTAAACTGTCACTTTCATCTTTCCTTCCAGTGTGTTTCAGAGGCAATTTCTATGTGCCATGAAGTAATAATGAATGTGAGACAGTTAGGGTCTATGCACTCATACACCATTGAGTTTAAGTTGACTGACTTCATTTCCAAAGTTACTCTCATTTTAAGCCAAATTACATGTTTGGCTTTAAGTAATAATAATGTCTATGGAAATAAGTTTATCGTTTTTAAATAGAAGATTACTTTATACTCATCAGAAAGTTAAAGATCTGTTTTAAGGAAACTTTACTACTTCCCTGTCATATTTTCTTAAATATATAGACCTGAATAATTTTAATTACCTATTAACTGTGTGTCTAACCAGAATGAGAAGCAAAGTACAAAGAATTAAAATGAAAAAAATATATACTTGCTCACAAAAGAAAACTTATATACAGATTAGACTACAA